CATGGCTGTGTGGGAATTCGAACCCTGGTCTCCCAGTATCCTAGTCCAACACTCAAACCACTACACCGTGTTGGATCTCTGTACTTGTATACTTTCAAATAAATTGGTTCTGAAAGTGTGTATTGGCCATATTTGTTGGACTTTTTGGGAGCTAATTTCTAAGTAGGAACCACTCATTGGAGGAAGGGGAAGCTTAGCTAATACACAAATTGAGAGATAGCATGGCTTAGTGGTTTGAGGGTTGGACTATGCTCTAGAGACCAGAATTTGATTCCCATTTCCATGTAACCCACAGGGTGACCTTGGGCAAGTGACATTCTCTCAGCCTCAAGGAAGGCAATGGCAAACCACCTCTGCAGATCTTGCCAAGAAAACCCCATGATAGGCTCGCCTTAAGTTGGAAAGGACTTAAAAGTACATAACAACAACAATAAATAAATAAATAAATAAAGTAAGCTGTCAGGCTTGCGTAATGGTTGCGTTCTCAGCCTTGCCCCCTGAGAATTTTGTTAATAAGCTGTTGCCAGGGTTTTATTTTAAGACATTTTTTTCTGTGCAGCTGCTGATCTTGTGGTTTCAGAAGGAGAAAAGTGGCCAAGCCTCTGAATCAAGGCAGCTGTTCTCACTTGTTGCATCCACAAAATAAACAAATACAATATGATTTTTTAATTTACTTAATTGCACATCAGACAACTTTCTGTGGCAAGGTTTTCAACTGCACACAGTGCTTTAGGGGACTGCATTGTGATCAGTCACCTATATTTGTGCAAGAGAGAGAGAGGGTGGCTGCATCCGCACTGCAGAAATAACCCACTTTGACACCACTTTAATTCTGGGAACTCCCAGAATTCCATAGCATGGACCCATGGCAGTTAAAAGTGGTGTCAAACTCTATTATTTCTGCAGTGCAGATGCAGCCTGTGTCTCTCTGTACCCCAGCAAAAAGATCTCTGTCCCCGAGTACAAAGTTTTCATCTTAATAGGTGGGAAAGACATGCACTTTCTCTGGAAACTGATTTTGGCATTTAATATCAGTTTCTCCACTCTTGCGGTGTTTTCTGTTAATTTTGCAATGCGTAAAAGACTATTCCCACCTTTTAAAGGTATGAATTGAACTCCATGCAGATCTTTCATTGTAGGCTGCTGCCACACTGCAGAATTAATACAGTTTGACATCACTTTAACTTCCATGGCTCCATCACATAGAACCTGGGGGTTTGTTGTGCATCAGGGGCTAAATAGCTTGCAGAACTACAAATCCCATAATTCCATAGTATGGGGCCATGTCAGTTAAAGCAGTGTCAGACTGTATTAATTCTGCAGTGTAGATGCACCCATAATTCAAGCTTTTTTTGCTGACTCCTAAGAAGGAAAAGAGTCCTTGGAACTTGTATTCTGGACCTTGATTTTTCTATTAAATTGCCACACTATGGTAATCACTATGAACAAGACTCTGTATTACTATTTAAAATAACAGATTTGGGTAGTTTCTGCCTTATGTGTAACATGTTATTTTTCAGCTTTTTAATGCACTTGATTCTTTAATATGCTTTTCCCTTCTCAAGTTATAAAATTATCCCTGGAGGAGGTTCCATGATATTTAAATCACTCATGCAGATGGTTCTTTAATAAATGCCTTTTTCTTCTGGAAGGTTTTTGTAGCTGCCTGCTTAAGGAGGGCATGGACCAAACTTAGGAAATATAGACTACAGTTTCCACAATCCCTTGGCCAGCATGGTCATTATAGTTGTCCAGAATAACACTTTAAATTCCAGATGTCAGAGTTTTATGGGTCTATAACATATAACAGTATTTGTTAGTTCCTCCAGATGGTTTAGAAGTAAGCTCCCATAAGGTCCAGCAAATATGGTCAATATATACTTTTGGAATTAATTTATTTCAAAGTATAGAAGTACAGTTAGCCATCATGGTATAGTGGTTTGAGTGTTGGAGTAGGATATTGGGAGGCCAGGGTTCGAATCCCCACTAAGCCATGGAAACCCACTGAGTGACCTTGGGCAAGTCACACTCTCTCAACCTCTGAGGAAGGCAAGGGCAAACTCCCTCTGGACAAATTCTGCCAGGGTAGGTTTGCCATAGGGTCATGAGTGAATGGCTTGAAGGCACAAAGCAATGGGTTGGTAGTTTTTAAAGTTGCTTTAACTGCTGCTGTGTTTAAAATGTGTTTTATCTTGTTTAAATTATGCTTTTCATCCGGAAGTGGTTTAAATAATTTATATTGTCTATGTTGCCTCACTATGATAAAAGGCGGCATAGAAGTGTTTAAATGCATAATTGGTTGAAATGGGGTGGATTCCCCTCCCTGCTGTAAATAAACCATGTGAAATGAATTTATATTGTTATATATTTACCCTATATTTTGCAATGCCCTACCTTTTCCCTGAATGCCCTACATTTTGTGCTGCCTTGTCATCCTTTGCGGTTATGACATCTGGTTGCCCGGCCCTATGGTCATCATAAGTCGGACATGACTTGAAGGCAGACCACAACAAAAGCTGTGAGATAATGGGCAGACTCGTGATGAGTTGCAAAACTGTGTTTTCTTAATAGATAAGAGGTGCAAGCAGCTGTTAAAGGTGGCTGTGTCCTGATAGAGCTGCCTCTCCTGTGCCCTTAGGCCAGATGTGCAGGCACATCTGGGTAGGATGGGTTCAGCAAAAATAGCTACCAGCTTGTACAGCTGCCCTTCAGGGGTGGAGGAATTGTTGCTTTTAGGGTTCTTTCTGCTTCGTCTCAGGACCTGATCTCTCTTCTCTGGAGGAATCTCAGGATGAGAGCACTGCCTTGAAATTTGCCAGACACATCTTTTCCTCATGGCATACTGTCTGCTACTGTGTTCTTGTTGTGTGCCTTCAAGTCGTTCCTGACTTATGGTCAACCCTCAGGTGAACTTACCACAAGGTTCTCTGGGCAGGTTTCTTTAGAGTGGGTTTACAGTTGCCATCCTCTGAGGCTGAGAGAGTGTGACTTGCCCAGGGCCACCCTGTGGGTTTTATGGATTTGAACCCTAGTCTCTAGAGTCATAGTCTAATGCTCAAACCACTACACCATGCTGGCTCCTAGGGTATCATTCTTAATGACATCACAAGGCGATGGTGCCCTTAGTCACCTCACCTTTACCTGGTGACAGTCAAAAGGGACAACTCTAGGTCTTAGGGTTTGGCCCTGAAATCTCAGGGCCTGGGATAAGCCTGATCTGCAATCCTAAACCTTCTGGATGTTGCTGTTGGACTGCCAGTCCCATCATCCATCACCACTGGTCATGCTGGCATGTAGCATCGTGCTGGCATTTCTGATGGGACTTGTACTCCCAAAAACAACAAGTGGGCTGCAAATGGCCTGCCTCTGCTATACTGCAAATTGCAAACAGAGATGAGATGAGAGGTCATCTCGGTTTTGCGGGCTTTGGGCAGGTTCAACTGAAGTATAGCAAGCCAGCATAGTGTAGTGGTTTGAGTGTTTGACTATGGACCTTATCCCACGCTGCTCTCAAAAGTGGCAAGAAACCGATATGAGCATCATCGCAGTACTATAGCGCTAGCATAATATGGCGCTAGCGCTATAATAGCGCTATGGATAAGGTAGCGCTATTGCAATGCCCGCTGACACCGGGCATTCAAAAGAACCCGAATGATGCTGCATTCCGAGCGGTTTCTTGTTGGATTCTGAGCGACGTCGTGGGATCACCCGGAAAACTATAGCGCTATAGCGCCTGATTCTTAGCAGATTCTGAGCGACGTCGTGGGATCACCCGGAAAACTATAGCGCTATAGCGCCTGATTCCATGTGGATTCTTGCTGCTTTTGGCCCCGTG